CCAGCACATCACCAGAAGCAGCAGCTCAGAGAGTGAAGAAGGATGAAGAGCTTGAAGGCAAAATTCAAGAAAAATGACGTGAGTGTGTTTACGGTCACTCGCGCCTTTGAGGCAGGAGGTTGTGGGTTCAAACCCAGTGCCAACCGTAGGCTGAAACACTAAACCCGCTACCGTGTGGTGTTTCCCATCTGCTGTGGCATTAATACTGAACCTTTCCACCCCCTTCAACTCCCCACCCCCAGCCCTCAGTGTCAGGGGCTTTGCCCAACAGTGAAAGGCTCTATGGAAATGGAAATTGCATTAAATTGGATTGTATTAAACATCCTCTGGCGCTACTGGAAAAGAGTAGGGAGTTTTTCCACCAGTTTAATTGCACGTCTGTTTCCTAGCTGTTTGATTACAGTGTGTGCAAACTGGCTCCTGGTTTGCCTTCAAAACTCTACACCTGGCAGTAATTTCCGATAAAAGCTCTGAGAGCCATCTGAGCATTGTTAGAGATTTGTATGAAGCCAAAAGTGTGTCACATAATAATAAGTGCTCCACAGAATATACTGTAAAGTGAAATGACTGCATATTTTGTGGGTGAAAAGTAAGCTCTGCTCCCTCCAGAAAAGGTTAATTAACATTCAGGAGCCTCCTAAACATGGGCTGAATATCAGATACACGGCTCGAATACTACATTTCCCTTCAAAACACAGTCACTACACTTTACAGTCAATCTTGTGATCCATCCTCCTGACATGAAAAGCACTGGATCAAACACATGGTTTAGTATTAATCGTTCTTTAAAGCGGTCACAGTACAGCTGAATAGCTTTTTTTTAAGCTTGCAACGCAGAAAAGGGATTCAATGATCAGCGTGATTCCTAGCGCAATCTTTGCGTGCATTTAGCATGACCGTAGCGTGGTGCTGGTGGCCAGTTGTAGCCACTTGCGGTTGTAGCATACAGGATGCTGCCTGGCGATGGGCTCCATGGTTAGCTGGCACAGTGTCCTTGACTCAGTCTCTACGGAGACTTGATCTCCAGTTCCCCACATGGTGCTGCATTTTTTATCCATTAAAATAAATTAAACGGACACTAAATTCCGGCTAGTTTCGGTGTGTGTCTCTGAGATGCTCGGTAGGCGAGCGGTCTGATTAAGGGGATGGTAAGTTTAGGTTCTGCCAGAAGAAAGAGGGAGAATAAATTGACTTTGTGAATCATCGTCTCAATGACCCTGAATTCTAGGTTATCCGTGGAGAAATTACACAATGCCCCAAGCCACAACAGCAACAATTTTACCTTGATACAGAGCCTGTCACATCAGGAGAACGTCTCAGAAGGGGGTGCGAATAAAAGATCGTTAATGCCTTTAAATGTGGAGAGGAAGGGGGCCAGATGCAATGACTCCAGGATGGAGTCCCAGGTTCAATGGGAGCTTCAATGACCTCTGTCCCCACCTTCTGGAACCTCATCCCGGAGTCCCTCCAAATCGCTCCCTCCCTCTGCCTCCTTCATGGCCCGTCTCAAGACCTTCCTCTTCGAGCGTGCCTTTGGCCAACCCTCCTACCACCCCCCCCACACCATCCTCCACCCCTCTTGATACTAACCCCTTAACTGTCCAGTGCTGCGGGATATCCTTCTGATGCAAAAGGCACTGTGCAAATGTAATCTTGTTGTATTTGGGGCCAAATTGTGTATAAAGAGGAGCCTGAGCAACAATAACAATAATAGTCCTTACATTTGATTCAACGCCTTCAACATTGAGAATGTCTCAAAACGCATACTCCATAGTGTAGTGACTGTGTTGATGAGCGAACGCGGCATCCTAGTTATTACGCAGAGCAATGTCCACAAGCAGCCATGAAACGAGTGATCGATTTCAAACGGAGAGAAGCTCCCTTGTCCTTTTAACCCCGACAACACTGTGGGATCTTCAACACAGTCTGCCCGCCAGGGGCTCCGACAAAGTCAAGCGCTTGGAGACGCTGTGTAAATCAAATTGAACGTTGTTAACCTTTGCTTGAAAAGGCCGCTGGGATCTCACGTCTGTAGGACTCGCCTCTGTCAACACAACGCTCCCCCAGCATTGCAAGCGAGACGTCATCCGAGCGGAGCTTTATTAGGAGAGTTCCTTGTTTTATTGTGATGTAGTGGCTGAGTAGCGCTGGCAGTTATTGCTGCAGCAAAACCGCTGAATTATTGACAGAGCCACCCATGATCTAATTACCAGGATTCATTTCCGTGTGAGATACAGGAGCGCTGCCTCGCGCCAACGACAATGAATCTTAAACTCTTTACCGAGCCGCGAGCCCGTAAACAGCAGTGCATTTGTCTGCTGTCACTCTGCACTCGGGAGCCCGGGATCTCTGCGCTGTTTGATCACAGCAGATGAACGCTATGGTTATTGGTCGTCGGTAAATTCACGGTCCTTGGCAGCGAAATGCAAAGCAGCAAACACTAGCATCAGCATCCCCACTGCTCTGCTGCTAGTGATTGGGTTCCAGAGGGTTTTAGAACACTAGGGTTATAATAATAATAATAACAATAATAATAATGATCATTGCATTGGATATAGTGCCTTACCTTGTCGTTGAAACAGCTCAAAGTACTTCACAGGATATATTACAAAGTTTAGTGACTGTGTAATTTGTGGGCGAAACGCGACAGCCAATTGCGCACAGCAGCGTCCCACAAACAGTTGTGGACTGAGTGACTAAATTATTCTTATTTTGTTGTTGTTGTTGGAGGGATTATTACACCCGGAAAAGTAATTTGCCAATCGACTAACAACTTGCTGCTAAGTAAACAAAGGAGTGTGGAGTAAGGAAACTTGCGTAAGGTTTGGCCCTGCCCGGGAAGCGAACCCGGGTCCTCTCACTTGCGAGGCGAGCGCTCTAACCACTACACTGCAGGACTCCACTATTTCATATTCCAAAGTAAGCCACCTGCAGGTTTGGCATCTGATCAGCGGCTGACAACTGACCTGATAACATCACAGGCAGCGAAGTCCACAGGGAGCCGAGCGATCTTTATATAGACTCCGGCGGGAAAACACGGACGCTGGAACAAAGGACTCGGGATTTCAGGGCTGCCTTTGTCCTCATCACTCGCCGTGTCTCGCCTTGCCACGCCCTTGCCACGCCCCACGGCCCCCAGTTACACAATGTGGACTTTTCCAAATTAAATCCCTCGACCCAGCCCAATATCATTCTGCTTTCCTTACGAAGGGATCCTCTTATACATCGCCGGGAGTTAAATCCCATCATCCCTGGCTTTGCTGGAAGGTGTAGTGACTGTGTATTTCTGTGGGCAAACAGTAGTATCATTCAGAGATGCGGGGGAGAAAGCTGGAAAGCGGGTTTAATCAAAAGGTGATTTAAAGAGGCAGTAATAGCATTAGCTGAATGCCCGTCTTCTTTATGAGGAATTTCCATTAAGAAATATTGCGGATTAGTCCCTAGTTAACTAATTTAATGAATCCATGACTGTTTGTGGGACATTGCTGTGTGCAACTGGCTGTTGGGTTTCACCCACAAAATATACAATCAATTCACTTTACAGTATATTAGCGAGACACCTGGGTTCAATTCCAGGTAGAGGGCGAAACCTTGGGCAAGTTTCCTTACTCCACACAGAGCCTAATAATAATCCCTCCAAAACAAAACAATAATAAATTGGTCGTTTTTAATCCATGACTGTATGTGGGACGCTGCTCTGCGCAATTGGCTGCCGCGTTTCGCCCACAAATATACCGTCAATTCACTTCACAGTATATTCTGTGAAGCGCCTTGAGATGTCTCGAAACCGTGATAAGGCGCTGTATCAACTGCAAAGACTATATTACTAGATAGCGCAAGGCACTGTAAAACACGCTTCCTGCGTACCATAAGGTAGACACATACTAAAAGCATTTTAGAGACCACGGGCGGTGATGGCCAATTAACTAGCGGAAGTGGCCGTCACTCGTTCCGGGAGGCTGTTTCACAGTCTGTGACCTGGATTGTGATTTCCTCCAGGGTTCAGTCACAGCCTCTCTCGCTTATTCCCTGACGTTAGCCAAGCGAGAAGATCTGGGTTCGATTCCCAGCAGGGCAAAACAATGGGCTTTTTCCTTACTCCACACATCTCTGTTTACCTTGCAGTAAGTAAGAACACGGTTGTTGGTCGATTGGTGGATCCCTTTCCCCGGGGGGGTAATATAAAGATAATAACTTTATCTTGGTCACTTAATCCACTTGGACTGTGCTGTGCGCAATTAGCTGCAGCATTTCGCCCACAAAACATACAGCCACTACACTTTACAGTATGTTCTGTGAAGCGCTTAGAGATGTTTAGAAGATGTAATAAGGCTCTATATCAAATGCAAGGGTTATTATAGATAATGTCGACCGTGAAAACTGCTTGATCTCGTACTGAACAGCAGAACCAGAGGACACGGCCTGCGATTGAAGGGGGGATAAACTCAGAACAAGTCGGCGTAAGGTAATAACATTCAGAGATGTGGGGAGGGGAAAGCTGGAAAGCGGGTTTGATTAAAACGGTGAGTTAAAGAGGCAAAAATAGCATCAGCTGAATTCCCATGTTCGTTATGAGGAATCTCATTAGGAAATACTGCAAATTAGGCGCCAGATAGCACCAGGCACTTTAAAAATAGTGCACTGCGCATTGTAACGTAGCCAGGCACCTCCTCTGCTCGGCTGGCTCGCTCTCGGAACCAAACGCCAACGGTTTGTTTTTTTTCGGGCCACTTTTTCCCCAGGAAGGCACAGTCCCTTTAAACATTCGATCACATACACACACACACACACACACCACACGCGTGCACAGTGAGCACGGTGCCAGCCAGCTATGGCCATATTTGAGGAGTGAGTGAGTGAGTGAGAGAGTGAGTGAGCTGGAGGGGGAGCAAGGCTGCTGCTTGTTCCCGGGAAAGTGTAGCTGCTGAACATTAACGACAGAAGGCGTAGCACGGCTCAGTATCCAGTGGGAGACAGACGATGCCAACCTCAGTAGGGGCAGGGGAGGGGGCGTTGCAATGTCACCCCTGTCTCCACCGCCAGCTCACAGACCGAACTGTGCGGCATGTCCCTCTGTGACCTCAGACGCCTGGTTAGTTGGGAAATGGACAGAACGCCGAACACAATGGTAGGTGAACCTTACAACGATTTAGGAGGGGTTGTAAGGGTGGGGGGGGGGGGGCGGGGAGGAGTGATTTCACCTTAGACCCCGGGCTTAGGAGAGATTCTTTAATAAAATCAGATGTCGCTGGGAACGCTCAGCAGGTCAGGCAGCATCTATGGAGAGAGGATAGTGGGTTAACCTTTCAGGTCGATGACCTTTCCTCAGAACGGAATCCGATTCTGTGCGGAGGAGAAATTTCTCTCAAAAGGTTAACAGCCTCCCTGCGCGTAAGATTACTGTCCATAAAAATCCGTGCATCCAGTTTCTGATCAGAAGTGACGGACTTAATAACAAATCAATACGCTGTAATGAAACTCTGTTTGGAACCGCCTGCAAAAGTAACCTGGCCCTTTGAGGCCACAGAACTCCTGCCGTTGGGGGTGAAGATTGGAAACTGTGCATGAGGAACCGTCAAGGATTTGAGCTCATGCTCCAGACCGGCATCCAGTACAGTGCTGGGGGAACGTAGTATTGTGGGAGGTGATGGCCTTCGGCCGAGCTGAGCAGCCCATTTGCGTGGCTGTTAAAGATGATGCGCAGTCCTGTAGCTCAGTGGTTGGAGCGCTCGGCTTGCAAGCAAGAGACCTGGGTTCAATTCCCGGCAGAGGGCGAAATGTTGGGCAAGTTTCTTTACTCCACATGCCTCCGTTTACCTTACAGTGAGTAGGAACCCGGTTGTTGATCAATTGGCAGATCGCCTTTTCCGGGCGGTAATCATTCTTTCAAAAAAAATTGGTCACTTCAAACCGCGACTGTTTGTGGAACACTGCTGTGTGCAATTGGCTGCCGCGTAACACCCACAAATATACAGTCAATTCACTTTACAGTGTATCCTGTGAAGCGCTTTGAGACGTCCGAAGATGTGATAAGGCGCTATATCAAACGCAAGGATTTTCTCTCTCCCAATGGCTTGGTCAGCAATCTCTCAGATAAAAGTGGTCACTTCATGTGGGACATTGTCAATAATAAATATAATCCTTGCATTTTAATAATAATCCTTACATTATTATTAAATTACGACTCAAAGCTCCTTACGGGATACCCTGTAAAGTGTGGTGACTTTGTGCTTTGCTCAAGGGATACACTGGAGCGACTCTGCCGTGCGTTGGTGAATCTGCCGCGTGTCAGAACTTTCAACTCCGTGTTTGTGTATTTTGGGGTTTGTCATTTTTGATGCTAAATCCACGGGATTTTTTTTTGGTGTTGTTTTGTTTGTTTGCTGTTTTCTGCTGTTGCATTTTGGAGCAATCAGGCTGGTAGACTCCCTCACTGTGTGTGACCCTGCGAGCTGTGTGTGAGTGTGGGGGTGGGGGGCAGTGTTAGCTTCGCATTTGCAAGCAGGCGTTGATTGATGACACAGTGAGCTGAATGCTGCCGCTGCTGAGAATCAGGAGGCCAGCCTGCTCGATGCTGTGGACTCGGTGTGTTTAGCAGCGAGCTGGCTTAGGAAACGACACTGGGCTAGACCGATGGGGACGGAGGTGCCGCGTGGAGCTGCGGTCTGACTTGCGGGGGATGGAGAGGCCGGAGAGCACCTGGCCGGTGAAGGGGAAGTGTCCGAGCGCGGTGGGCTGGCTGGGGTCCGACCGGGAAGAGCAGCCGGCAGGACCTGGAGGAGGCCTGGGTTGACCACGGAAGCTGTATGGCAGCCAGGTTATTGCAATCGGTTATGAAGCGCATTTGTCTCTGTGCTGCCTCTCTGTCAGTACGTGTGCTTTCTCTCTCTCTCTCTCTCTCTCACTCCATCGTTTGCTGCAGTGCAATACCTGCCATCCATTCATCTGCACTAAACCAAGGCAGAATATCTGCATTGCACACATACACACACTCTCCCTCCCCATTGCATCTCAGTAATCAGCAACGTCCTTATAAAATCAAGCTGCCTTTCAGAATCTGCTGTTAGATTGTGAGCAGGCGAGTGTGTTGCACAATTTAATTATTGTACTGATTTTATACAGCAATTTGCAGTTGTCCATTGTCTATTTCAAGTCAAGGAACCCCACCCTCCCTCTTACCCTCTCTTCCCCCACCACCACCTCCACCGCCCTCCATGCCCCTGCGCTGTAATTATTTTGAAATGGGTTAAAAAAAAGAGAAAATGACTACTCATTTGCAGCCTGTGGCGCAGTTGATAGCGCTCTCGCCTCTGAGTCAGAAGGCTGTGGTTTCGAGCCCCACGTCAGGACTTGGAATCACATCGTCTAAGCTGACACTCCAATGCGGCACTGGGGGGGTGTTGCATTGTCGGAGATGCCGTCCTTTGGATGAGACATAAAGCCGAGGTCCCGTCTGCCTGTCAGGTGGATGTTAAAGATCGCATGCTGCTGTTTGAAAAGAGAAGGGTGTTTCTCCCGGCCAACAATCCCCCAATTAAAATTGGTCACTGACTTCATTGCTATTTGTAGGGCATTGCTGTGTGCAACTAACTGCTGCATTTTGCCCACAAAATACATAGTATATCATGTGAAGTGCTTTGAGACGTCTCGACGATGTGATAATGTGCTATAAATCCAAGTTGTTGTTGTGTATCAATGCAAAGATTATTACTATTATTATCACTCATTGCCTTGCTTTTCTTTTTAAAAAAATACCAAAGGGGTTGAAACTGTTTTTCCCAGACAAATTTTGTCTGCTATCTAAGGAATAATGTTAAAATTTGTGTTGAAATGCTACCCCCCTCCCAACGTCTGAATAAACATGGCTGAAAGTGAAGGCTGCCATCTTGGATTTGCGGCAAGTGGCAATGCCAATCGGTGAATAAACCAAGAGATGGCGCTTTCCACACTCTCCGTTTCAGTTTCAAGTGTCAACCAATTTCACTTCTGATGAAATCCTAACCCGACTCTCTCTTTCAGGTGCTGAATCAGGGCATTTCCAACCTACCTACGCATCATTTCTCCTGTGTACAATGGAACGTCCTTACCTAATGTCTCCCTTGTATTTCAGAGCCAGGACTGGAGTAAACATGACGAGAGGTTGCTGCAGGCCGTGGAGAACAATGACTCTGAGAAAGTGGGCTCCCTCCTCACCAAGAGGAGTCTCTTTGCTGCCAAGCAGGACTCTGATGGGAGATCAGCGTGAGTCACTTTATTTCGCTCAGCAAAGTTAAGGCTGTTTAACGATGAAAAGAAATCTCAGAGAGAGCGAACCGTATGGAGGGTGTAGAAGGGTTTAGATGGGACTGAGGATGTAATCCCAGAACCATGCTATCAGGGTATGGTGGCGGGGGGGGGCGGTGGAGGGCAAGTAAATGGGACTGAAATGATTAATATACCCACTCCTGACATGGTGGTGAATGGCCTGCTTCTGGGATGTGAGTTATCACCAATACAGCAGAACATGGGGGCAGAGGTTCAGGGTTGCAAAGGGAATTTCAGGACAGGCTTCAGGATGCATTTCTTTACCAGAGGGCAATTAACAACCGGAACAGAATTGCCAGGAAGGGAGTCATTTAAGAAATGGCTTTGATGCTGTGATGGGAGGAGGAGAGGGTTGTTATGGTTGGAAGGATGGGATCAGGAGAGCTGAGGAGCCTTCTTCATCCCAATCTTGTGACCTTGTGTGAATATTGCAGGGTTTATGTATAACAGGTTCAAGAGTGGTGGCGTGGAATTTACAATACGTTAGTTTGTGGAGCATTACCATGTGCAAACTGGCTGAAGTATCTGCAAATACACAGTCAGTCATTTTGTTTTTGCCTCTGAAGTGTTTTGATGTCATAGACTTCGTATCAAGTGTAAAATCGTTCTTATTTATTATTCTAATTATTACTGCCTCTAACCCTTAATTCATTATCAGTCTTAATTCAAGCGTTCTGGGATGCTTCCCTGCAATGAGTGGCGCTATCTAAATGCAAGTTGTTAACCTGGAGGCTCTTTCCAACATCCACTGTTTTCTATTTAGCCACCTATTCCAGTCTGACTCTCTCTGTCTGCCCTGCAGATATCATCTGGCAGCCATGAAGGGGTACGTGGATTGCCTGGAGGTTATTCTATCTCATGGAGTGGATGTCAGTGCAATGGACAGCTCAGGTAAAGCTTTCTCAGCTAATAAACCAAAGCGTTTTCTCGAACAAACTTGATTTCCACTCAGGGCGGAACGAATCCCAGAATCTCCCTTCGTCTCAGTCTTTTCAGTGCCTTGGGACGTCCTCCTGACGTGAAAGGCGCTATACATATGTAATTTTGTTGTTGTTAAGATTAGTGTCTTACACTGTAAGAAGATTACCGAAAAGAGCCTCAAATTCAGTCCTACTTCGGAAACCGATTTTCTACACTTTTCTTGCCCTGAGTGAGATTGCCCCTTTAGCCCTGTAAAAACATTTTTATCTTCAAATGTAAGGTTGTGCAGAATTGTGGAAAATTCTTAAAACCAGCTGTAATTTGGAATCTTTTTCTGTTTCTACGGACCGCAGAAAACCGCTCTCCAAATTAAGTCAGAACTTGAGAATTTCCTGCTAATTGGTCACCCACCCCGCAGCTGTTTGTGGTACGTTGCTGTGCACAACAACTGGCTGCCGTGTTTCTCCCACGAAGTACACAGTCACTGTACTTTACAGTGTATCCTGTGAAGCGCTTTGAGACGTTTCGACGATGTGATGAGACGCTGCATCGAATTCAAGGATTGTAATTAATATTATTCTTAAACCCATTCACTTTCCTTTTTTCCCTTTAGGAATGAATGCGTTACACCTGGCAGCGAGGTATGGACACCACCAGTGTGTGAAGAGACTTCTCCAGGTAATCATTCCTCAGGGAATAGACCCAAATTTACACTCAACACTACAGAGCTGGATACAGGACAGCGAGCACATGACTGAAGTTTGCCTGCAATCAGCCTGCCATACAGCCTATTGCTCGGGATTGCTCAAAAGTTATTTCTGGGCCGTGGAGTGTGGATTTTGCCCCTCTTCAGCTGGCCAGAGAATAATAACAATAATAATAATTATAGGGAGGAGGGAGGTGACCGTAGACACGGTTGAAGAGGAAGGTCTTCAGGCGTGACCTCGAGATGGGGAAGGATGGGGCAAGGCGGAGGGATAGAGGAAGAGTGTTTTAACAGAAATGCACCATTTCTCTCACGTCCTCATCCCCCAGGAAAGATGCCCAGTAAATACAATGGACAGTTATGGGAGGACTGCTCTACATTATGCAGGTCAGTGCCTTATGACTATGCAAACTATGCAAACCCCCTGCTTGTCGACCTTCCCACTCCTCCCTCCACAGGCTGCAAATAATCCAGAACTCTGCAGCCCGTGTCTTCTCCCGCCCCAAACTCCGTGACCCCATCTCCCCAACCCTCGCCCGACTCCACTGGCTCCCTATCCTTCAGAGGATCCAGTTCAAGATCCTGGTCCTCACCTACGAAGCCCTCCATGGCCTCGCCCCACCCTACCTCTGCGACCTCCTAACCCCCTACCAACCCGCCTGCTCCCTCCGCTCGGTCGGCTCCGGCCTGCTTCACGTCCCCGATCCACCCGCCCCACCATTGATCACTCCGCCTCACTCCCTCCTTAGCCTCCTTCAAGTCCCGCCTCAAAATCCTCCTTTTCGACCATGCCATCGGTCACCCGCCTACCCCTCGCTTCTCCCCCCCCCGACCCCAGCTCGAGTCTAAAATGCTGTACACTTAGGATGTCCTCCTGATGTGAAAGGCGCTATACAAATGTAATATTGTTGTTGTTGTTGTGGGCCAACTCTTTCCAATTATCCATCTTTCTCTTTCAACAGCAACAGCTTGCATTCATATAGCACCCTTTGCATGGGGTAGCATCCTGGAGCGCTTGACAGTGGTGGAGTCTGACCCTAAGCACGATCAAAAAGGAAGGTCTTTAGGTGGTGATGTTTCTGTTTCACACTCAAAGATATCCCACCTTTTAGTTTTGATGCAAAAAAAATTTTTTTTCTTGGCTTGCAAGTGAAAAAATAACCCACAACTGAGCGTAAACGTGTGTCTGTCATGTCTCTGCTCGTTGTAGAGTTGGGGCTTTAGCTCTAGGGTTACACCAGCTCCTGTTTGGCCCCTAGTGGCCTGATTGAGAGTGACATTAATGGAAGTCAAAGAGTAAAGTGCTCTGGGTGGTATCTCAGGTAGAGTTGGTACATTAGTCAGTCTGGACCTTGGAAATGTTTCTCAATTGCACTCTCTATGCTCTGTCTTTCTCTCCAGCTGCAAGTGGGAGCCTGTGCTGTGTACAGACAATCTGTGATTTCAAGGGCTCTTTGAATGTCTACGATGAGGTAAGATGTCCATTCCTATCCTCCTACTGAAGGCATTGCCTCCGGGTCTCTCATCCAAGTGACCATTCTTTACATGAGGTAGCCACGAGGGGTTGTTAGACCATGCCGCTTATCAGAGTTAAACCAGAACCTTTTCTCACCCAATTTCCACACACAATGCATTTCTCAGGAACGCGTCCAACATTTTACCCTTGTTTTAACTCTTAAGACCAGGTGTCAGAAAGGCTCAGTCGGCCACGCACTCTCTCTCTTTCATCTCTGGGTCAGAAGGAATTTGGTTCAAGCTCCACATCAGGATTTTGAGCGCACAGTGCGGGCCAACACTCAGTGCTGGGTGAGCACTGCATTATTCGCAGGTGCTGTCCTTCAGGTGACTGAGGTCCTGTCTACTTATTCAAGAGGATGTTAAAGATCAGGTGATTCTATTCGAAAAGAGGAGTGATTTTCGCCTGGTGTCCAGGCTAACGATTCATGGCTGTTGGTGGGACATTGCTGTGCAAATTGGTTACTGTGTCCACCTGCAAATACACAGTTACCAGACGTAATTATTGTGAAGTGCTTTGAGTTGTTTTGACATTCTGGGCGTTATATCAATTGCAAGTGTTATTATTATTATTATGTTGTTATTACAGTTTAAATCACTCTGTAGAGGTAAATTTTTAAATGTTTTTCAGTGAGGGTCAACCATACCAACAACACTGCCATGTTACATATGAATATATGTTACTTTTCTTAATATATTTGAGCTTCCTAAAATAGCTACTTTTTGCAGGAGGATATCTTGTCCACAAGACATTCTGTCAAGAGATGTTTGAATTTTAACAGTCCCATTATTGTAATATTTATTATTATATTAATTATCATTATTATTATTGTCAGATTGACAATGGATCAGTGAACTATCTCCCCATCTTGCCTCACAGGATGGATGTTCCCCACTCATTCTGGCAGCACAGATGAGTAACCACGAGATCTGCAGGTGGCTGATTGTAAGAGGAGCCGATGTGAACACCAGGGACAAACAGGGCAGGTGAGGAGCTTGCAATCTGGGCAGGCAGGCAGGCAACTGATAGTCAACAGGAAGGAAAGCACAACACAATACATTTTGCCCAGAAAGTATAGAGTCAATTCACTGAACAGTATTTTCAGTGAAGCACTTTGAGACGTCTCCACGACGTGATAAGGCGCTATATCAAATGCAAGGATTATTATTATTATCTGTCTTTAATTTGCCTCAATAAGGTTAGCTCTGAGATATCTCTTTTTGAAGCTCAGCTCCTATTAACTCTGCAAGCCAAAGCCCAGTCGGGTAGGTTGGTCCTAGCTGGACAAGCAACGGGAAGCTTGCCAGACAGTGCTCTCAATGGCAAGACTTCGCTCTTGCCCAAACTGTGTCTAATACCCCCTGTAGTTTAGCTGCTTTGGTAATGTAACCCAGTGACCTGCTTGCATTACATTTGAACAGCACCTTTCATATTGGGTGGATATCTACCTGAGCTGGGTTTGGGAGCTGAAGGCAATGGGGAAGGGAAAGCCTGGTCAATAAAAGAGGTACATCTTGAAAAAACTGTATTTTTTTTTGCTTCATGTGGAAACTATCACCCTTAGGAGTATCCAAACCAAACTGAGAATTCCACATATGTATGTAATCTACCCACGGAAATTTCCTCGTGTCTGGAATGGAATCCGCACTTTCTCCCTGTTTACCTAATCCTGGAGAGTGTTAGCCTAAGTCTTGGGCACTCCAAAATTTGGGTTAGGGTACTGCTGGAGTTTAACCTGCTAAAATCACATAGCTCGTCTGGCAAGCTTCCTGCTGCTTGTCCAGCTAGGATCACCAGAGCTTTGGTTGATAGGGTTAGCAGGAGCTGACTGGGAAGAATCCCTGCTTATGATCTCCAAATCCGCCCTTCCAAATCCTACCAATGAACCCAGCTGGCTGGTCAGGCATCAGCAAGGCCCTGGGGTACTGTGGACCTGCGTGGGTCAGGAATTGGACTATTGAGAGCGTAACATAAAAGGGTTAACTTAACTCCGACAATCCGTAAGCCAAGTATACACAAACTGACTTGCTGTCCAATCTGTTTCCTACGTCCAGAACAGCTTTGATGTTGGCGTGCGAGAACGACAGTGTGGAGACAGTGGAGGTTCTGGTGAGGAGCAGGGCTAACGTTGGCCTTGTCGATGCTCTGGGGCATGATGCTGTGCATTACAGCATGGTCACCGGCAACACAGAGATTCTTCATCTCCTTCACATGGGTCCCCACAGGCGCTACTGGAGTAAAAGTAAGTGGCCTTCCTTCCATCCCAATCTCCTTTGTACCGTATTACTTTTTTTAAATCATAGAATCATAAAATCTTACAGCACAGAAGGATACCATTTGGCCCAATGTGCCTGTGCTGGCTCTTTAAAAGAGCTACCAACTAGTCCGACTCCTGGACCCTTACCCAATAGTCCTGCAATTTGTTCCTTTTTAAGTATCTATCAATTCCTTTTTGGAAGCTATTATCGAATCTGCTTCCACCACCCTTTCAGGCAGTACAATCCAGACTAGCATCAAAAGAATTATTTTAGGATCCACTATTGACTCCCTAGGTGGAAGCAGAAAGTGTTGATTCTTTCAGAAGCAAATGAGATAGATTTCTTTTAGGAAATAATATCTCGGGATACAGGATACAGTTTGGGACATGACATGTCCATGCGACTGCCAGGATGGTGGAAGGCAAACTGGATGGACCTTGGTCTTCTTTTGTCGAGCAATCCTTATGTTCATATGAATTTAATTGATGCTACAAAGTATATTGTAGCTTTCAAGAAAGAAGCGGGCAGGCATATGAAAGAGAGTGGCTTGTAAGGGTGTGGGGATAAGGTGGACGGTGGGACTGAATCGATCTCCTTGCTCTGTGAGCCGATGCGGACTCGATGGGCGGAATGGCCTCTTCTGCGCTGCAGATTTCTGTGTTTCTATGAATTCATGGTCAATTCAAAATTCATTAATTGACACTAATTACTCATTATTAACAATTAATTGATATTAATTAAGCAACAACTAATCAATTAATCGTTAATTATTAATGATTAATTAATAATTCACGCTGGTTAGCCATTAATGATTGACTAGTAATTAATTATTAATCAATATTTAATTAATAAATTAGTTGACGTCTTATTTCTCTTGTTTAGGTTCACATCCCTCATTGTCCTGTATAGCAATATTCATTTTCACTTCTGATTCATTTATATCTTGTAATGTGCTTCGAGAAGGTTAACTTTAGAGTATTTTTGTGTCTCATTTGGTAGCGCATTCACTTCCGAGTTAGAAGGTTGTGGGTTCAAGTCCCACATTCAGGATTTCAAACTCATGGTCTATGCTGACACTCCAGTACAGGGCTGGGGGAGCTCTGCATTGGTGGTGGTGCTGTACTTTGGATGAGATGTTAAACCGAGGTCCCGTTTGCCAGTTCAGGTGGACTTCAAAGCTCCCATATTTCAAAAGAAAAAGAGAAAGGAATTTCCCCCCGTGTCCTGGCCAGCAATCCCCCAGTTAACATTGATATTTGTTTCATGGCTGTTTGTGGGATACCGTTGTGTGCAAATTCGCTGCAGGGTTCACCTAAAAATACACAGTGTACACTTTACAGTAAATCCTGTGAAGCTCCTCCTACTATATCAAAAGCAAGCATTATAAAAGGACCAGAAGCTATAGACACGGGTCTCTTTTAATCGAGAGACTTGGGTTCGATTCCCGGCAGGGCGAAACCTTGGGCAAGTTTCCTTAGTCCACATGCCTGATAATGATCCCTCAAGAAAAAAAAATAATAATTTGGTCACTCAATCCACAACTGTTTGCGGGACACTACTGTGCACAATTGGCCACTGCGTTTTGCCCACAAATATACAATTAATTCACTTTACAGTATATTCTGTGAAGCGCTTTGAGACGTCTGAAAGACACAAAAAGCACTACATCAAAAATGCAAGTATTATTATTTATTATATGTATAATGCCAAGTTGTGTGCCAATTGAGAATTCCATATATGTATGTAATCTACCCATGGAGATGAGGTGCTGGGCAATGATTCCCTCTGTTAGCCAACACATTGTGAAAGGACACAATTTGCAGGCAGGTGAATTTTTCCTGTGTGAAAGCTTCAGCCCAACATGAGTGACATGTATCTCCTTTGGTTTCTCGAACCACAAGATGGTAGAGGTTCCGCTTGAAGAATTAAAGGAAACTTCTTTGACATAATCTGGGCAGACTGGATGCCACTAGTTGCGGAGCCTTATTATTGTTCAATGCTTCCTCCATTGCCAAGCTCCGCTGTGCACATCCTCATTCAGAAGAAGAACTCAGTCAGTGGCTACGGGTACAACCTTATGTCTCTCCCACCCCGTGTGCTACAGGCTGCTGGAAGAACAGTTCAAACACAGTGTAAAATATTGTAGCTTGTACGTGACTTACATCCTTTTCCCTTTACTCCTTAGCAGAGCTGGAGTTAGCTGGAAAACAGCAACAGGTAAAGAGCCATGTTTTTGGTTAATACTAACTGATGTTGAACTCTCCCTGTCCACCTCCAAGCAACATACAACAAACTACATTTGGAAATGGCCTTTCATGTCAGGAGGACATCCCAAGGCACTGGACAGTCAAGGATTTGGACCCAAGCTGCGGGTTGACATCAGTGGGGTGTGGAGGACAGGGAGGGTAGGGGTAGGAGGGTGAATGAAAGCGGGGTCAAAGAGGAGAGTCTTGAGACAGGCCTTAAAGGAGACAAGGGAGGGAGCGAGGCGAAGGCACTGTGGGATGGAGTTCCAAAGAGTGGGCGCAGAGAAGCCTGTCCGCCAATGGTGCGGCAGACAGGTCGGGGGACATGGAGAGGCTGTGTCATACGTCACTTTACACAGACATTTAACAATCTACGATGTTCTGTTGTAAATGCTGTACCGTTGTTCTAAGAGTCTCCTTGTCCTTCTATTCTCCAGATGATGGCAAAAGAGAAGAGCCTGACACCCCGAAAGAGGAGAGCTCCCCCACCACCCAGCTCCCTGTCCACCCAGGTAACTGACCCTTTCACTGATACATCGCAGAGCTTCCATGGTAAAAGGTGGTGAGAACTTTGTGGATAATAATAATAATCCTTTTGATATAGTGCCTATCACATCTTTGAGACGTCTCAAAGTGCTTCACAGAATATACGGTAAAGTGAATTAACTGTATATTTTGTGGGGCGAAAACACTGCAGCCAATTGCAGCAGTGTCCCACAAACAGTCGCGGATTGAGTGACCAAATTATTATTATTTTTTAGTTATTTATTTTTGGAGGAGGAAGAGAGGCCTGATATAAAGATTGCATGCCTGAAATTCCATCTAGTCTTTGCCTGTGAGATTTCTTTTTGGGGGGGCAGCCGGGCGTCTCAGCCTTGATGTCTCATCCAAGGCTAGCATCTCCGATAATGCAACACAGTTCTACTCCCCAGTACTGCACTGGAGTATTGGGCTAGACAGTGAACTCTGGCCTTAATGTGGGACTTGAAGCAACAATCTTTTCACTCAGAGGCGAGATTGCTACCAACTGAGACAAGTAAAGAAACTGCTCTGGTGAGGTGGTCTGTTGCAGGCTTTGAAACTGACGTGTTATTTTCCTATCCTGTGAATTTCAGAGTCCCTCACAATCGTCTGAAATCCTCTCCACCAGTGAATCAACAAGCCCGTCCTACTCTTCAACAGAAACACTTACCCCAAAGGTCAGTGCATCCCAGTCGGTCAATCCTACTTGCAAATGCAGTAAACACAAAGTAAAGGCGATTTGGCCCAACAAGCTCCATATCTTTCTCAACCCACGTATAAGCACTCTCTCATGGACTTTACCCAATCTTTATCCTTCCTCTCCACACTTCATTCCGTTCTCAGTGGTGATGTCCGTTAAGCCAAGCCTGCGGCATTATATTTGCTCAATTACTACAATGGAGACTGGTATCTAGAGGAGGGGCATGTGGTAGGAGGGGTGTTGTTGGTGGCACATTTTCCAATGTAATGAGTATCGACTGCATGGCTAAATTGACCCCAGTAGAGGTTGTTGCCAATGTTTCCTAATGAAAGACGTGAGTCGCACTGTGCATTGCTGATTGCTGTTAGCACACCAGCTGTTCCAAACAGGCAGGAAAGTCTCCTTTGAACCTATAGTTCCAAAGGGCACATGTTGGTCATTTCATTGATGTCCTGATTATACCACATCAGGTGTTGTTGCGTTGGGAACACTTTCAACATTGCCATTGAGCTAAAAAGGCAGAGTTTAAGCTATTGGACAGCCTTGATGAGAGATGTCCTTAGAGGAGGAACAGATAGAAGTACAGATAGATTGGCAGATTCTAAATGGGATTGAGAAGATAAATCTAGATCAACTTTCAGACACAAATAGGCAGCAGGATAAGGCACGTTCATGTTTGTTTGTGAAGAACAAGTTTAGGACAGGGACCAGGTAATGTCTAGTAAACCTTTATACTGTACCTGAAATGTTCAATGAGTAAGTTCTTTGTGTCTGTGTGGATCGCTTCACAGGAGGATCAGAAACTGAGCAACGAGATCTTCCTTCTGCAGCAGGAGCGAGACCATCTGCTCCACACCATTAGTAACCTGGAGCAACTTGTAGATAAATGCCAGCGAGAGGTAACGCCCATTTATCGCCTTATTCCATCTAAAACATCGAAACCTTTCGAAGCTCATTGCTGTGCGCAATTGGCTGCCGCGTTTGCCCACAAATATACAGTCAATTCACTTTACAGTGTACTCTGTGAAGCGCTTTGGGACGTCCTCCCGACGTGAAAAGCGCTATATCAAATGCAAGGATTATTATTATTATTATATCATGTCAAGTCTAATGATGGTTCTTGTTGGGAAATGTGGCAGCTATTTTATACACATTAAAACTCCCACTAACAGTTGGGAAGTAGGTGACTGAGTAAGTTGGCCAATTGTCTTTTCTTGTCCTGTACGTTGCTATGATTAGACATTTGAGATCTTTTTCCTTCCAGAAAGTGCTGATGGCCAAAGACGGTGCCGTCAAGAAATTGGAGCGACAGGTACTGTCTCACTTTCATTCTATTTAAATGACACTCAAAGGGATTGTACAATAATGGGATTGCTTCTGTCCTTAAATATCACCTGGGATCTGGGTGATTTTTTTCCCCCCATTCCGTTTCCCCCCTTCCTGCCTTGAGAGGATTTTGATCCTTTTTGAGTTCTGCTGGGGTCTGCTGCCCTAGGACCGCTCCAATTGCCACCGCACAATTACAAACTACTTTCAAGCTATTTCTGGACAGACAACAACAACAACAAATTAAATTTGTATAGCGTCTGTCCGGTGGGGAGGATGTCCCAAAGCACTGGTCAGTCAGGGATTTGGACTCGAGCTGGAGGCCAGCATCAGGGGTGGTGGACGGCAGGGAGGGTAGGGGTAGGAGAGCGGCTGAAGAGGAGGGTCTTGAGACATGTTTTGAAGGATCCAAGGGAGGGAGCAAAATGAAGTGACTGTGGGATGGAGTTCCGAAGGAGGGGGGCAAAGGAGTTGAAGGCCTGACCGCCAATGGTGGGGCTGGCCGGGCAGGAAAGGTGGAGCAGGCCGGAGCCATATAAGAAAAAATTGACAAGATTTTTGCATCTTGTTTGGGGTAACTGTAGTATGGTGCTTAATGAGGGCAGGGGTTCTCCCCGTTTGGCTCCGGTTAACCCAGGCCACAAATTCCATCCCACTCTTCTTAATAATGTTTCCAACTAATGGGACAATCACCAGGTTCCTGAATTCATGATGTTCCTGTAACGGGTGTGATTCTCTGATGGGTAATAAATAGATACACTGAGGGAGAACGGGGTTTCTTTTCCATAAACTCACCACCAAACTCTGTAAATGGACAGTCTATCAGGCAGTAACCTCACCCTCGCTCCCACCCCCACACTTACCCTCACCGTGGCTTGTATGTGTTTCCTCTAAGTGCTTTTGTTTTGCAACTGAAACAGATACAGGACCTTTTGACCAAACTAACTGAGAAGGAACAAGAAAATCACGAGGTGGTGAAAGAGATTGAATTGCTGAGAGACCGCGTGGCTTCCTATGAGGTGAATGATTTTTGTTCAACAGTGGAGCGCTTTGAGATGTGTTGACGCGATAAGGCACCAGATCAGAAGCAGGGATTATTTAATGCAACGAGTAAATGGGAACGCTAGGCCTTTGAATGTATCTGGCTGCAAGTGATGCAGGAAATGAACCACTTTGGGGGATACGGATCCACATTATAGAGGGAAAACTGAACCGCATTGAAGGAGAGAAGGCAAGGGATATGTCTGTATGTGACAACTTTTTCTAACATCAACAGGACAAGCAGCATGGCCTGAATGACGGTGAGGTGCTGGATGAGGAAGAGGTGCTCTTCGATTTCCCAGGTACGCTACTGTGTTGAGTGCAATGAGATATGAGGAAGTCCTGGCTCTTAACTAGGAAGCGGCTTGATGCTTGCAATGGGAAGATGGCAGGGTGGACTACTCTGCGAGGATGAGGTGGGTTCGAAGGGCCTCCTTCACCCGAATCCCTTCCCAGGGAATGCCCATCAACCCTTTGGAATGTTGCTCTGGAGACAGATTGGATCAGTGCAATGTTCCTGTGGGTCGATGGAACCACGAGCTGAGAGGTTGGCTGTGGAATTTCCCAACTTTTTGCTGGACATGGAATCTACAGTGCAGGGCTGCTAATTTGATTTCAAACTGAACCAACTACAATAGTTTGGCTGGAAAATCTTGATTCACTTCGGTGTTGTCTGCTACAAGACTGAATTATCCTGACTTATTGATCACTGATTCATTGCCCTTTAATCAGAAGCCACACTCGTCTCATCCCACTCAGTTGAATTGGTCTGTGTATGATTCAGGGACTGAAAATCTGATTTTGAAGAAATCTCTTCCTCACCCCCGGGAAGAATTGGTTGGGTCGTTGCAGAATCACGTGGACTCGCTCATCGAGGAAAACAAGGAACTGCAATGTAGACTCCAGGTAAAGAACTCTACTTATTCAGATCTTGGGCACTGGTTCCAGAGGCAGAAATATCAGGTTTGTGCCAAGGTTCTTGTGATGCAGTCATATCTCCAATACAGATTCTCCTGGCCAATAAGTCCCCAGAAAAAAGGCTTCACTGGACGGATGGAAAGATGGAAAACAACAACAACAGCAACAAGATTACATTTGTAGAGCGCCTTTCACGTCGGGAGGACATCTCAAGGCACTGGACAGAGTACAGCATTTCAGATCCGAGCCGGGGTCAGGGGCAGGAGGGGGGGAGAGGGGAAGGGGGATGGCCGATAGCATGGTTGAAGAGGAAGATCTTGAGGCGGGACTTGAAGGCGGCTAAGGAGGGGGCGAGGTGGAGTGACTGGGGAATGGAATTCCAGAGGTTGGGGGCAGATTGGCTGAAGGCTCGCCCACCAATGGTGGGGCGAGTGGGTTGGGGGACGTAGAGCAGGCCAGAGCCGGCTGAGCGGAGGGAATGGGCGGGTTGATAGGGGGTTAGGAGGTCACAGAGGTAGGGTGATGCGAGGCCATGGAGGGCATTGAATGTGAGGACCAGGATCTTGAATTGGATCCTCTGGAGGATAGGGAGCCAATGGAGTTGGGTGAGAGTGGGGCAGATGGGGTCACGGAGTTTGGTGCGGGAGAGGACACGGGCTGCAGTTATAATAATTATAAACCATTACAATATAAACAAGTTATAATAATAATATTAATCCTTACATTTGGATGTTGTACCTTATCAAGTCCTCCAAATGTCCCAAAGCATGTCACTGGATGTGAAGTGACTGTATATTTTGTAGGTGAACACGCAGCCAATTTATGCATAACAATGTCCCACAAACAGCCATTAACTGAATGACCAATTTAACTATAGAAGATTTTTGGTCAGGACATGAGGAGAAACTCCCTTCTCTTTTTGAGTAGTACCATAGTATCTCTAACATCCATCTGACGTAAGGGCATGATCTGGATCATGCAAGCCCTAACTTTAACCCTACAGAGCAAATTGTGACCTGTTAACTGTTGGCTTATTTATCAGTATTTAAGAACTGTGAATGCTTTATGATTCATTCCAGGAGATGGAATGTTTGCAGAAAGAATCGGACAAAGAGGACATTTCAGGAGGAGAGGATTTTATCCCAATTCTTCTTTACGACTCCTTGCGAGCCGAGTTTGAGAAACTGAAGGAAGAATGTGAACTGCTCAGGGATCAAGCCACGGTCCATGAGGAAGGGATGTCCTCTGAAACGCTAGTACCATTGGAAACATATGAACAACTGAAGGCTAGCCATGAACAAGAGGTTCTCAAGCTGCAGGAAGCTCTCAATGAGCTCAAGGCCAAGATGGACTTGGAAGTTGAAGGTTGCATCCAACCACATTTAGAGTCAGAATTGGCCAGTGTGGAAAAAAATACAGAGCAAGACATCCAGGACATGACTGAAAAACTCAATGAGGTTCAAGAGAGGTATGAGACAGCGATGAAGGAGGTAGAGCGTCTCAAGGAGCAGATTCATCTGGGAATTCTTTCAATGGAAGATCGGGAGATCTCACCAGGGTTAGATGGTTCCAAGGCAACTTATGAACACGAGACGGAGAGTGTCGAGATGAAACTTTTGGAAACACGTGAGGCTGAGGAACTAAAGGAAAACTGGTTGAAAGAACTGGAGGAACAAGTAAAAGAAATGGAGGAGAAATTGACTCATAGTATCTCTCTGGAAACATTCGAGGAACTGAGGACGTCACTCAACATTTCGCTGGAAGAGATTTCCAAAGAGAACGCCTTGCTAATGGAAAAATACACCGAGGCTCAGGATGAACTCAAGCAACTGAGAGCTGCAAACGAAGCAGAGGAAAGCCATCTTGGGAGTTGTGAAGAGGGGACCAAAGTGTCTCCTGAATTCACGGCAACAGCCGATGAACTGAAGGAAAAGTTGGAAAAGTTGACAAAAAGCTACAGTGAGTTGGAAGAGAGATTCAGAGTTCTTCAGGAGGAACATGAGACTAAAGAGAAAGAGCTGGGATCTCTGCAGGAGGAATTAACAGCCATGCACGTCCCGAAACACAAGCACGAAGAGGTGAAGCAGAAGCTGAGTAAATCACTGAGTGATGCTAACGAACAGCTCTTGGAAATCAAAGGAAAGCACAACACGATCCGACAGGAAGTAACAAGGCTGCAGAGTGAGGTAGAGGAGCAAAGGGTTCATTTTATGCCGCGAGATGAACACCTGAAGATGAAGGAGGCATTTGAGGCAATGAAGGGGACCGTGAGTCACCTTGAGAACCAGTTGGCCTCCAAACAGAAAGAGTATTCGCAACTACAGAGACAGGTGGAGACCACGAGAGAGCAAACCACTCTGAAAGACGAGCAGGAGAGCACCGTGACCTCACTGAAGGCCGAGGTGAACTCTCTGACCATCAAGTTGAATGACCTGACCAAGAAGCACGAGAGGACCTGCACCGAGGTGTTCCAGGTGCAGAGGGAGGCCTTGTTCATGAAAAGCCAGAAGCATTCTGCCGAAGACGAACTGGCTGCCACGCAGAAGCAGCTGCAGGACCTGAAGGCGGACTCGAAGAAAATCACTGAGCTGCATAAACACATCGAAGATTCAGCCGAGCTTGTGAAGGAGAAAGACAAGAAGGTACAGCACTGAGAGGAAAGTTGTGTTCGGCGAGCCGGGAGGAGGAGTGCAGGAGACGGCAGGAAATTTTAAAAACAAAATAAATAAATTTCACAGGGTGGGCAGAGAGGTGGCAGATGCAGTTTAGGGCGGAAGCAGTACACTTTGGGGGAAAAAGGACAAAGAAAGGGAGCATCTTCTAAGATGACCAAGTTCAGAATGGCTTTCAGGAACGGAGGGATCACATTATAAGCGCTCTGAGACACTACCCCACATGAAGGGCGCTATATAAATGCAAATTGTTGCTGTTGTATCTCAAACGGTGGAAGAGCAGGTAGCGAAAGCCATTAAAAAAACATGGCTAATTTGATTTTGAGGTTTTGTAAATAAAGACATTGACTACAAAATCAGGGAAGTAATGTCCAATTTAAATTTAGTTCTTAATTTGCAAACTGTTTCCTGCAGTTCTTAAACAATCTGCACAGCTCTAATCCCGGATACAGTAATAATCCTTCTCTGGTTGTGATTTTATTTTGCAGATCACTGAATTATCCAAAGAGGTGTTTCGACTAAAGGAAGCTTTGAATAGTCTGTCGGAGCGGTCGAATGCTGCTGCCCAGCGCGTCCAACCAGCCCCGTACAAAACACAGCCAAACTTGGAGTACTTAGAGAGTCAGATCAAAGCTCTACAGCATCAGCTTAAAGTAAGTGCAGGTCCATTTTGTTATAACACACTTTGCTATATCACTATAATGTTAATAATCGTTGCATTTGATATAGCGCCTTATCACGTCGTCGAGATGTCTCAAAACGCTTCACAGAATGTACTGCAAAGTGTAGTGACTGTGTGTTTTGTGGGCATTTTTGATAAGCATTAGTCTGCTTATAGCGTGGTCGCCCCATGAACCATGTGATAGATGTATGGTGCTGACTTTTTTGTAGCTTCCTGTGTATAGTGTACATGGACACGACGCACAGGAAGGGACAACAACACGGATCATTGCTTAGTTTTGCCTGGTGACTGTTTTTACTGCGCCTGCATTGTAAAGGGGGACAGTGTTTATTCGACCCAGATCACTATGTTATGAAGGAGATCAGTCTGAAGCAAGTTCAAGCTCGGTGAGCTTTCTTTAAGAGTTTAAAGACTTACAGGTAACAACAGGCTACAATTTTGATATTTCTTGGTGGAATTCACAAGAACAGATGATCATAAAAGGTTTAGACAAGGGAAGGTCCTTCGGTCCACATTACCCATCCTTCCAGAAATTCCCACTGAAACACTTTGTGATGTTTCGAGTTACAGACGCTAACTCAAATATAAAGATTATTATTGTGACCAGATGTTTCAGATAGAGACTAATTGATAGATTCATTTTCAATAGGCTTTGTACTGGAGAACGCGGGTCATTAAACAATACGGTCTAATAAAACTAATGCATTGTCCTTGACAGGAAGCAGAAAACCACCATAAAGCCATATTGTCGATCTATCGAACACATCTCCTGTATGCTATTCAGGTAAGGACCTAAACACAAGCTATGCATTTTGTTCCTTTATTCACTTTGGGATGTGAGCGACTCTGGCAGGGCCAGAAAGTATTGTCCTGACTTGATGGCAAACTAGGTCAATTCAGAGGACATTAAGAGTCACCATTAAGTGGCCCTGGAGTCGATGCCATCAAACCCACTTATTTGAACCCACAATGTTTGGGGATGCAAGTTCCCTAATTTGCAACTAAAATATGGAGGATAGAGGCCAATGGAAGGGTTTAGGCGTAATCATAAGAGATCTCTGGTATGGACTGGCTGGGAGCTCATCATAGACCTGTCCTTGGATCAGTTGTTCAGAAACATTGCTGTGCAAGATTGATGCAGGAGCAGAGTTTATGTGGAGGGAATTTAGTCATTTCAGCTGAGTAAATGTCCTTGTTCCTCTTTCAGGGTCGGATGGATGAAGATGTCCAACAAGTCTTACTACAGATCCTGAAACTGCACAAACGACAAGAGAAAGTCATTTGACCCTTTCCTTTTCTTAGTAAACTTTTTAATAACAAGGTGTACACGTCACATTGCTCCTGGCAACCAGCATCCTTGGCTGAAACTATCAAAGAATTTTTTAAAAAAACCTTTTATTGAAGAAACATCTGTGTGGAATGAGAATGGATTATAATATATAATGTATAATAATATATATATTATAGAAATGGATTTAGATGTTATTCCAGTCGCTTCACTCAGCAGATAAAGGATGGAGTGGGGTCCAGAGCCCAACACTTTGAGGCTTGTGTAAGAGGAAGCAACTGTGTGTTGGCATTTACAACTCACGAGGCAATAAAGTAAAAATACCTAAACATTTAACCTGTGTTGTCTGAGGATGGGAGTATAAGCTTGCAAACCAGCTTGTCAACTTAACATGGAAAGTTAGACAGAGAAAGTACCTATCCAGCCTGGCGTGTCTTAGTTGCCTGTGTTTTATTTAGAAATGGTCCTTTTTGTATTAATTCCATTTCCCACATGCCTCTCTCCCCACATGCCTCAATGTTTTTACTGCTCGGGCACTGATCTAATTCCCCTCTGAACAATTTTTTTGAGCTGGCCTCAGTAGCCAGTCGTGTTAATGTATTCCAAACCCAATCAACTCTCTGAGTGAAGAAATTGGCTGCTGTGATTTTGCCCACAAAATACACAGTCAATTCACTTTCCAGTGAAGCACTGGAAGCACTTTGAGTTGTCTCAACAACATGATGAGGTGCGATATCAAATGCAAGGATTATTATTATTATTCCTTCTAGCCTCTTCCTTAATGGAATTCTGCGATGGAATTCCTTCACAGTAGCTGAAAGAAAGCAGAGTTGGAGGAGCCTTAACCTCAAGTCTCTTATGACGCTTTCGAATGGGGTGTAAAATGCACTATTTCTTACTGAAGTTTCTTAATGTGTAAGCACTGAGTCACCACATTTAATGGCATTCAGAAGGGAATTGGATTAATACTTGAACAAAATGATATAGATATATATGGGGAAGGAACAAGGAAATGGGATTAGAGCAGATGTTCCCATGGGGGAGATAACACTTGCATAGACATAAAGGGCTGAATGGTCTCCTTCAGAACTGCAAACACTCTAAGATTCAATGGAAAAACAAAGTTTGGCAAACCCGTCTTGTTTATTGTACAACAGTATAAACATGAACAGCCACTAGCACTTAATGACATTGTACTTAAAATCAGGGACTTGCTTGGAAATATGGCAAAACCCCAGCAAAAAGAATTATATAGTCTGGAGCTGGAGTATATCTGGAAGCTGGAGTATATCTGGAAGCTGGAGTATATCTGGAAGCTGGAGTATATCTGGAAGCTGGAGTATATCTGGAAGCTGGAGTATATCTGGAAGCTGGAGTATATCTGGAAGCTGGAGTATATCTGGAAGCTGGAGTATATCTAGAGTTGGAGGTGCACTTTAGCGAGAATTCTGGATTAAATCTGAGTTTGGTACCATTGTCTGCATTCATGCTGTGTGCTGTGATTAAATCGCCCCTCTACATTTGGTGGGATCTTGTTCAGGAATTAACCTCTCCGAAACAGGAAACGCTTATGTCAACAAAGTCTAATTGTGATAGTTCCTGTGGATTTATTTATCATTTTCCCTTCAGTCACTGCACGCACTTTGCGAGATCCTCGCACAGTGAATACTTACTGCTATTTTGAAATTGATACACAATGTGTTGTCTTATGGGACTTGGAGCAAAGGTTCACATAGGCAAAGTGTAAATCCAAAGGCCATTGATCTTCTGGCCTTGCGGGAAAAGGGTTGTTCGATGCAGTATTGTACTGTGCAGCTCTAGTCTGTACCTTGGGCCTCCCATACTCTTCCCACTGAATGCAAGCACTTAGATTCCTTTCAGAAAACAGCCAGCAGCTTCCAGTCTGACAAACAACTTCAAATTGTCACATTGCACAATTAAACAGAAACTCTGCGTTGAGGAAATGATTTGTTTATCTGAGGCATTAATGCGAGAGATTAATATCACAGAGACTCACTGACCAGTTCCACTGATAGGAAGCAACGCAAGAGGTGAGCCACTATTTGTTGCACTTCTCAAACTTTTGAATAGAATGCATAAAACAAAGCTTGTTAAGGTTTAGCAAATTACACAGTTTCTGGCTTCATAGCCATTGGGATGTTTGAGTAGTACAGTGCATCGGGGGAAACATTTGTGCAGAGCAACTTGGAGTTGGTTCAAGGAACCAACTCCATATATATATACAATTTATTGTTGTTGTGGTTGTTGCTGACAAATTAAAACATCAAACATAATAAGTGTTGTAACCTTGTCAGCTCTTGTCCATTCTGACCATGTTTCTCTGTAGGTATTCATCATGAATGAGAGGCTGATATTCATTCTGGGGACTTTACTTGTGCCCTTGAGCTCCAGTAATGACACACAGGAGCAGTCTGCAACAGACGGTAAGTCATACTGATGTACTGTGTACACATTAATTGGGATACAATAAGGATATCTTGCATTGGTAGGGGGTAGAGTAAAGGGTTACCAGATTGATGACTGGAATAATTACCTGACTTGTTCATATTGGAGAAAGAATGGGGGAAGATCTTATTGAACATCTTAAATGATCTCATCTTGAAATATTTCAATCCGTTCAATAATAATAATAATCATTGTTGCATTTGATACAGCGCCTTATCACGTCATTGTGACGTCTCAAATGCTTCAAAGAATATACTGTAAAGTGGAGTGACTGAAGACACTCCACTTTACAGATAAGCTGCAGACCAATAATATAATTTAACATGGTGAAAATCTCTTAATACGAAGGGGTACGGATTTGAGCTTAGAAAAGGAAAGATTATTTTATAATAATATGAAATATTATTTTAATAATAATAATAAATATTACATTTTAAAATAATCATATTTTATATCATCATAACACGATCGTTACCTGAGATTCAGTTCCTGTTCCATTTTCCCCAATTGGCTATGTTTCTTTTACTCTTCCTCTCTCTCTCCCCCCTTCTCTCTCTCTGTTATTTCACCTCAGGAGTAAATGACCAGCAGATCGAGTTTAAAACCCTCGTTCTCACCTTTAAGTCCTTCCACAGTCTCACCCCTACCCTACCTCTGCAACCTTCTTCAACCCTACCCACCCAGCTACTCCCTTTGCTCAGTGCACCGACCTGCTTCACGTTCCCTGCCCAATTTGCCCCACCATTGGTGGGTGATCTTCTAACCATTCTTCTCCTGAGACTCTCTGAGACTCCGTTTCGAAATGTAGCTCTCTGACCTTGCTTTCGGACGTCGTTTCCCCTCTCCGCCATCCTCAGCTCCCACCCCCAGCTCGGGCGCCAAATAAATGTACATTATATTGCAACAAAAAGCAAAATACCGCAGATGCTGGAAACCTGAAAGGAAACAGGAGTCGCTGGGAACACTCAGCAGGTCAGGCAGCATCTATGGAGAGAGGAAAGCGAGTCAACATTAATACAATATTATATTGTATTGTGTTTCCCTCTTGAAACCCACAATGGTCTCTGCCTCTACCACCGCGTACCCAGTAGAAGTGTTTTTTTTCTAAGCTCTTCTTTCATTATAGTGGCATTGATGGCTTTTGCTTTGCATTCAGGTGTCACAACCCAATATGGCCAGATTGGGACCAACGTCACCCTCTTCTGTAGTTGCGCTGACCGTGATGTCGTGGAATGGAGGCTGAATGACTCAAAAGTGATCGAAACCGACGCCACGCATCTGACGGGCACAAGCCTCACCCTGACCATTGCCACGCTGCCCATGGGAGGCCTGTACAGCTGTCACAGCCAGGACTCAGGCAAAACCTGCAACAGACTCCACCTGATCCTCGGATGTGGGTTTGGAAACAATTGCGTCTTGTATTGACCTCTCCTTAGCGAGTTCTGTGAATTTTAACAGATCAACGTCCCATTAACACGGAGACTCCTGAACCTGTTTCCGCATGTTATATACTATATGTATATACATATACATATATGACTTGCTGTGCGCAATTAGCTGCCACGTTTTACCCACAAAATACACAGTCACTCCGCTTTGCTATTTATTCTATGAAGCACTTTGAGATGTCTCAACAATGTCATAAGGCGCTATATCAAGTGCAAGGATTATTATTATTATGTTTTCCTTGAGTTTTTCCTGTTTTCCTTGTGAATTTTCCATGGATGGAAAATCTTTTATCTTTTTAGGGAAACATTCTCCTGCCCTGGAATACAGGAACTCAATTCACCCATAGATTGTTTCTGACCTGGGGGAAGAATGTGTGTGTGCTTGAGGTAGAACCTTTTGACCTAGTGGTAAACATGTCACTGACTGAGCCTACAAGCTGAAACTTATCAATAGAACTGAAAACTCGTCTTAATCGACACAAGCTTAGAATAAGAGCTGGGTGCAGTGTTGGTGATTAATATTGGTGATGGATGTAATTGCATAGAAAGGTGCTGATGTGATGTCTACTGCTTCTCTGCACCTCAATGTTGAGATTCTCAATCATTGCCTTTTGATCACAGATCCACCTGGAAAACCTCAGGTCACCTGTTGGTCGGCCAGCTACCCACTGAATGTCATCTGCTCCTGGAAACTGGAGAACGAAACCTACCTTCCTACAGAGATCAGTGCCACCTACAGGTAAAGGAACATCATGGCCAATATGAAGTCATAAGGTTATGGTTTGAGGCCCCTTGTCCTTTAACATATTGGTTAGAGCACTCGCCTTGCAAGCGAGAGAAACCGGGTTCGATTCCTAGACAGGGTGAAACCTTAGGCTTAGTCGTGAAACCTCACGACTGTTTGTGGGACGCTGCTGTGAGCAATTGGCTCCCGCATTTTACCCACAAAAATATACAGTCAATTCACTGTACAGTATATTCTGCGAAGCGCTTTGAGACATCTAGAAGACGTGCTAATGCGCTATATCAAACGCAAGGATTATTATTATTAGGCAAGTTACCATACTCCACATGCCTCTGTTTACCTAGCAGTAAATAACAACCTGGTTGCTAGTTGATTGGCGGATTACTTTATGGGGGTAATAGTCCCTTCAAAAAATAAATAAACAATTAAATAAATAATAGTTTGGTCACTCAATCCACACCGTATCTCTATTGGTTTGGTCAGTGCTTTGGAGCACCGACGCCGCAGCTTTAAAGCAATTGTCGCATCCCCTTAGAGAGAATAACTTGTGTTTTGTTCTTGTGTCAGTTGGTTGCACTCTCACTGCTGAGACAGAAGGTTGTGGGTTCAAGCCCCAAGTTGGGACATTGAACTCGTATAGTCCAGTGCAGGGCTGGGTGTGTGCTGCAGTGTTGGAAGGTGTAGTCCTTTGGATGACATGTTGGACATTAAAAGATAATAATAATAATAATAATCCTTGCATTTGATATACTGCCTTATCACGTCAACGAGATGTCTCAAAGCGCTTCACAGAATATACTCTAAAGTGAATTGACTGTATATTTTGTGAACGAAATGCGCACAAATTATAGTCAATTCACTTTACAGTGTAAGATCTCATGGTTCCTCAAAAAGAGAATGTCCTGGCCAACAATCCCCCAGATAAAATTGCCCATTCACTTCACGCTGCTTGCGAGATATTGCTGTCTGCAATTTGGCTACGAAATACACAGTGGTACATTTTACAGTGTATATCCAGTGAAGCGCTTTGAGACGTCCTGATGTGATGGCTGTTAATGTAAAGATTTTTTTAAAAAAGGTATGGCATCGGAGAAACGAAGGAGTGTTCGAGGAACGCCACTGGGGACAATAGCTGCATAATCACCAACATGAGCTTGTTCTCACACAGTCCCTACACAGTCACCGTGACGGCTGTTAATCCATTGGGAATCAGATCCGCCATCAAATCCTTCCTTCTGGAGAAAATAAGTAAGCAAAACACATCATCCTTTGTCCCAGCCTGAACCTCTTTCAAGTGTCTACTCGGGCGCTGATCACATTGATGTCTTTTTGGATAAGTGCAGACATGTTAACCGATGGGGCCAATTCAGTGCAGTTGGTCAGGAGCAGGCACTGATGGGAGCCAAAGCAGGAGAGCCTCGGTCTGGTTGACGTTATGCTGTTGAAAGTTAGAACTCATCCAGGACTTGTTAGGTGGTTGATAAGGACAGCAGTGGTCCTGGAATTGAGGGTACAGGCAGAGCGATAGAGTAGGGCATCATCCGTATACATAGACACAGATATAATATCCTGTACAATAAGCTGGGAGATATCACTTTTTGTACTTGCAAAGGGCAGTAGGGATCTTTGGTCCTGGTTTGTTTTAGCAGTAACGTAATTCGACTCCCAACCAACAATGACAAATTATTAATAATAATAATAATAATCCTTGTATTTGATACAGCGCCTTATCACGTCTTCGAGACATCTCAAAGCGCTTCACAGAATATACTGTAAAGTGAATTGACTGTGTATTTCGTGAGCAAACATCATTTTTGGACTCACGAAGGGCAGTGTAGAACTACATTTGGATCGTTCCTTTTATGTCGGGAGGATGTCCCAAGACGCTGGAAACTTGCCAATGCGCACCCCCACCCCAACATGTTTTTCCTTCGCAAACTTTCCGATGGTTTTCTTTCTTATTTGCAGTCAAGCCAGACCCGCCAATGGACGTCACAGTCTCTCCAATACCCAACGAGCCAAAGAAGTTGCTGTTGCGGTGGAAGCCCCCGGTCACATGGCCCAATCCGGAAGTTTTCGTGTTGACGTACATCGTACACTTCCGTCAGGAAGGTTCCAGACGAGAGAGAGTGGCAAGTCAAGGGCTTTTTTTCCCCCCCTTTCTACCCATTCACTGTACGGTCAAAGTGACCTCTGTAAATCCATTGGGATTCAATTCCACTATCAATAATAATCCTTGCATTTGCATTTGATATTCAAGACGTGGGCTTTTGTGCTATATAGTATGCGATGTGAGTCCTTCTAGTTCCTACTGTCTAGTGCCCTTCTCTGTTGTCCCAGAGGCCTAGAACTGTATGAAAATTAATGAATAATAATATAACAATGAATATTAATCCTTGCATTTGAGATAGCGCCTCATCACGTCGTCGAGACATTTCAAAGCACTCCCCAAAATATACTGTAAAGTGGAGTAATTATATTTTCTGGACGAAATTCATCAGCCAATTTGCGCGCAGCAGTGTCCCGTAAACAGCCACGGAGTGAGTGACCAATTTTATTTGGGGGATTGTTGGCCAGGACACCGGGAGAGAGAAACTCCCACCTCCTTTCGAATAATCCCACGCACGGAATTTTTAATGTCCACCTGAACAGGCACACGGGACCTTGTTTTAACATATTGCCTCCTTTTTACGTCCACAGACTGAGGTCGATGATCAGACCAGCTACACCCTGAACGGACTGCGATCCAAAGCTCTGTACTTTGTGAAAGTTGCAGCAAGGGATGTACTGAACAACGGGGAACCCAGTGCCTGGAGCAGCACTAAATCTGCCCGACTCTGGTCTAGTTAAACAAGACCTTGGACCTGTAATTGAGGGTAGAGGCAGAGCGATAGAGTAGGGGACAAACCCTAACATTGCCAACTTTAATCCCAGCAGTAAAGGAAATAATAATAATAATCCTTACATTTAATATAGCGCCTTATCACGTCTTCTATAATATAATAACATAACAATGAATATTAATCCTTGCATTTGAGATAGCGCCTCATCAAGTCGTCGAGACATTTCAAAGCACTCCCCAAGATATACTGTAAAGTGGAGTGATTATATTTTCTGGACGAAACTCGTCAGCCAAATTGCACACAGCAGTGTCCCGTAAACAGCCACGGAGTGAGTGACCAATTTTATTGGGGGGATTGTAGGCCAGGACACCAGGAGAGAGAAAACTCCCATCTCTTTTCGAATAATCCTCGCTCGCCCCACTATCGGTGGGAGGTCTTCCGCCACTCTGCACCCACCCTCTGGAACTCCATCCCACAGTCCCTCCATCTCGCCCCCTCCCTCGCATCTTCAAGACCCACCCCAAGACCCTCCTCTTCGACCGTACTTTTGATCTCCCCGCTTCCTCCCCTGCCCTCCCCCCTCCCCCACCACGACCCTCAGCTCGGGTCCGTAACTCTGTCTGTGCAGCGCATTGGGACGTCCTTCCGAAAAGAGCTATACAAATGGAATTTTTGTTGCTGTTGTTCTAAACGTCTCAAAGCGCTTCACAGAATATACTTAAAAGTGAATTGATTGCATATTTTGTGTCCCGCAAACAGTCGTGGATTGAGTGACCGAATTATTATTATTAATAACACTGTAATACCATTCTATTCACAAGAACCCAGCAATCATATGTTACTTTTATTATGTATCATCTTTTTCTCTCCTTGTATCAAAGATAAATTGTTTTTATAAAAATCACTTTTGCCTTGTGTCAGTAATTGCAGGAATAGATACAATTATTGATTATGAGCAGATCTCAGTGATTGATTATTTACACCTTTAAATGAAGCCTATCTCTTTCTGAATAATGTCAGATTAATATCTCATCCATTAGACAGCACATCCAGTGCAGTGCTTTCCCATTGCCTGAGCCAAGACTATGAGACCATAAGAGATAACAAGGTCAGTTTGGATGAAGGAGGCTCTTTGCCCCATCCAATCCCATCCCTCCAGAATATCCAATCTACTTTCTTCCCATTACGGCTTTGAGCTGTTTGGTAAATGAGTCCCAGTGTCCTGGCCTCAACCTCCCTTCCTAGCCACCTGTTCGAGTCGTTAATTACTCTCTGGGTAAAGAAAAACATCCTGGTGTTTGTCTTCAATTGCCTTCTGCAACTCTAAACCTGTGTCCTTTTGTTCTGCTATCTCAGTGCATTGAAAGAATTGTTCTGCATTTACTTTCTTAATCCCATTTAATAATAATTATAATCCTTTCATCTGATATAGCACCTTATCATGTCTTTGAGACGTCTCAAAGCCCTTCACAGAATATACTATAAAGTGAATTGACTGTATATTTTGTGGACGAAACGTAGCAGCTATTTGTGCACAGATAAGATGAAAACCTTATATACCCGAATAAATTCCCCTCTGAGGGATCTCTTATCTGAGACTGACTATCTTATGTAAGCATTGCTCACTACTCGTTCCTCTTAACCTGGAGATCATCCTTGTTGCTCATCTAAGCACTGTCTCTAGGACCTGGATAGCTCCTTTATAAAAATAAATGTGTCTTTCTCTGGGGACTGAACACATTAGAGTGAACGCACTGTGCAGAAATGGATGGAATCGTGCAGTTTCATTTCAGTGACTTTTATTATTTGGAACGTTTGCCATTAGAATGTTTACTGAGGTTTACAAAACAGAGTCAAAGAACCCAAACCAAATATCTAAATGAAGAAAGAAAATTAAAAACACCCCCCAACACACACACACAGAACACAAAGCCATGTCCAGTGGATACTCCCTAAACAGTCAAAACATCTAAAACAGGAATTGCTTCCAAAAAGCTGCTTTATTGCGTTGTTCTTGGCCTACTCTGAAACTTTGTTCGTGTTGTAATCAGAAGCCTGATGTTTCTCATGTACTTAGGCTTAAGACCATTTCTCCTAAGGTTAAAAATCTCGCAGAATTATGGAACATTCTTAAATTCACGCTCAACGCAGAATCCGTTTTTCCACAATTCTTAAAAAAAATCTAATAAATCTAAAACTAAATCATGTACATTTCCTCAATTTTGAACCATCTTAAAATTAAGGATAAAACTGTCTCAAAGGCTATGACTAAGTGGATTTGGCGCCAATAGGTTTGGTAACTACAGAAAATAAGCTTTCAACTGAAGCCTGAATTTAAGACTGTTTTCCAAACATCCCCCTAAATCTTACATTTTAAGGTTAACACTCTTAAACCTGAGAACACGAGATATTAGGCTCCTGATTTTTCTCCTGAAGTGTCTAATGAATTTGTTGTCCTATTCAGGGCATGAGAGGATGAGAGGTAGCTATTGTGAGGTAGTAAAGGCATCGACAGGGATAAAAAGATTGACCCATGAACACTACACAAACGGTTGACATCTCTGCCCCACTGTATTGCAATGAACACAATCGGTGAATGGGTGAGTTGTTAAAGCTGCCAAGAACCGTCTTCTGAAACCATCAACACTTAGATTTCAGGATACATGGGATAGCTGGCGATGGCGCAGTGATTGTTCCTGTCCTTTGCCATCCGAATATAGCCGTTGTTTCCCCAAAACACTCCCCAACTGCAACAGGATTAGAAAAAAAGAAGCATTAAGCATCGAACGAGAAGAGGGTATAATTTGGCCTGTAATGGACTTGCGGTGGAGAGTCAATTTCTTTGGAGACCAAAGATGAGACTCACAACCCTGGTGTCCCTCCTGAAAATGCCATTTACAGTCTTTTCCTCCAGTATGGCCAGGGAATCTTTAATGTCCATTGAGGTACAGGCACATTGAGGTCCTTGGTTTAATGTCTCATCCAAAGCATGGCACCTTCAGCAGCTATGTCCCAAGATTGTATTGCAGTGTCAGTCTAGGCTATGAGCTCAAAGTCCTGACCAATGTGGGGCTTGAACCCACAACCTTCTAATGCAGAGGCGAGAGTGCTACCAACAGAGCCAGACTGGAGATTGTCTTATAGGTGGAATTTGGGGCCATTCCCAGGTGTGCAGAGACAAAACCTACCTGTTCTTAACATTCCAGTAGTTCTGCCCTCCCTGAACTCCGTACCCAACCACAAGGACAGCATGATTGTACTTATTGCTCTTACACTCCACATCGTAATAAACACCTGGAACGCAGAGGAGAACAAGAAGGAAACATTGAAAGGTTCATCTCGCGATGGCGACCCTATTAGAGAATTCCATAAGGAGAGCATCATATTAATGACGCCAGGAGGAAGTCTCTGAGTACTTCAGTCAGTTACTGTGAAGTGCAGTGACAGCCAGTGGGTTTTCTAGGTGAACTACATGATTTTCATTTCGAAATGAAATTCACGAATGCTTCAACTCTGAAAAACGTTTGTAGTCGGGTAAAATCTGAGCTGATCTGTCGAAGCTAAACAAAGCACAAAGTGTGTCCTTTACCTGAGCTGTAAAACTGGAATGAAGCCAAACTGGCGTCAATGACCACAGCAATGGGCCCGATCTCGGCCACTGCTTTAGCCAAGGCTGCCTCATTACCAAATGGAAGCACTTTGAATCCTGAGATAGACGTCACTTTGTTGGAACCATCATAGTTACAGGTGCTGTGCTCCTGTGGTAATGGAAGGCAAGGAGGGAGAAATGTGGTCAAATGTTGTTATACAGGCAACACGGCAACTAACCTGCACTTAAAATAATGAAGGGATTCGACAGAATAGATACAGAGAAAATATTTCTTCTAGTGGGGGAATCCAGAACAAGGGGGCATAATCTTAACGCTAGAGCTAGGCCATTTAGGAGTGAAATTAGGAGGCAGTTTTTCACCCAAAAGGTAGTGGAAATCTGGAACTCTCCCCCAAACGGCTGTGGATGCTGGATGCATTCACATTCTCAAGGCTGAGGTGGATAGATATTTGTTAGGTCAGGGTATCAAGGAATATGGGGCAAGAGCGGTTAATTGGAGTTGAGGTCCGGATCAGCCGTGATCTTATAGAATGGCAGAACAGGCTCAAGGGCCTGAATGGCCTCTTCCTATTCTTATGTCTCTACTGCGAACAACAGTGTGTTGAATAGACAGCTTTAATTTTGAGGTGGAGATGGGTGGGTGGGTGAGGGGGTGGGGGGAAGTTACATTTGGATGAGGAGGGATAAATCAGGATAACTAGGGAGAAAGATTCATGTTTCTTTAACAAGTGACAGGAAAAAAACAATTCAAAGTTGAGACGGAAATCACCAATTTGCCAAATTCTGGACGTTCTGAAAAGTTACATCAATCTAGACCCCGCTGGATTTTCTCCCCCTCTGTGCTTAAAGCATGCGCCCCTCCAGGGAGAAAGAACGCACATTCCGTCCCAGACACGCAGAAAATGCATATTTGTAAATGCACAATACAAATACTAAACAATAATAATAATAAATAAAATATTAGTAAATAATAAAATATCCATTTATTAATAAATGCTAAAAGGGCACATACATAGGTGGAACCCTGTGTACTCTGAAGCATGGTCGTGGGTTTCCGCATGTGTCAGTCTCCCAGTGCAACCACAAGGAACAGTGTGAGTCGCTGACTAGCACGAGCTAAATTTGAGAATGCAGATGTACCTTTGCGATATAGGGATAGGTGGCGGTGGCTTCAATTCCCCTGTTGTCCTTGATGTACTGATAGGCCTGTGAGGGCCAGCCACCGTTGCACCCATTAGACCCGTAACCCCTCGAACAGTCCACCAGGTTCTGCTCACTCAGTGAGATCAGTTTGCCGGTCTTCTTAAACAGTTGTCCTTCCAGTGAGCCCGTCACACTGAAAGCCCAGCAGCTGCTGCATGGACCCTGGTGAGAGGAGAGGTTTTCAATAAACATGAACAACAATTAAAACAACCATTAAAACGTGCGCCGCATTTTGCCCCCAAAATACACAGTCAGCCCACTTTACAGTATAATGTGAAGTGCTTTGACATGTCTTAACGACGTGATAAGGCACTATATCAAATGCAAGGATTATTATTATTATTATTATTAATAGGGCCGAGCAATCTCTAATACCCAGCTCAACAGACAGACCCTGGTTTAACATCTCTTCTGAATGATGGCACCTCTGACAATGCAATGCACTCCATCCAACACTGTAGTGAAATGTCAGCCTGGACTGTGCGCTCAGGGGAGCGATAGAGGCCGGATTAACAATGTGGGTACCTGGTATTTTACTTCGGTGACATAACCAGCTGAGGTCCAGCAGACGCCCTGGGGCAGGGCACCGATCTCTTCTCCTGTGATGTTCCACGTCTGGTTCACTTTGTCACTCACATTTTCGAAGTCCTGGTTGGCCAAGAGCTGCCCAAACTCCAACGCAGTCTGAGGATAAATAAACACATTCGAACGGATATTTCCACTCCACAACTTACTGCACTTTGCATCACTGTGCCCACAATAAACCTCTGGTATGTCAATTGATCAGGAAAAAGAGTCGGTGGGGGTGGGGGAGGGTGTGGAGGAGGGGAGAGAGTCAACTTTGGTTCCAAAAGATATTATGGCCATTTTGCTCAGTCGGTCTCCAGCCTGTGAAATCCACAACATATACTGCAATAAACATATTTTATGTATCTTATCTATGACAATAATACCATCACTCACCCAGTCTCCAAAGTGATTCATGGCCATTTTGAACGTATGGTTGCTATCTCTGTGCTTGGCATTGTGAGCTTCTATCTTCTTATTGTTCTCCCACCAGATGGTTCTCCTGATGATCTCCTGTGACTGAAGACAGGAAAGTAATGGGTTGTTGCAGTGTTGATGTAGCGAGATGTCCACAGTCTCATATTACTGTCACTTTTGCTCAAATCTACATGTGGGGAAACTTGTCTCTGGGACCTTTTCATTTCAACTCGGGTAGATGGGATGACAGTTTCTGTCTGTTAACTCTAAACCTCAACTGGACAGGAAATGTGTGTAGGCAGACTCAACCCAGTACCTAGTGGATTGTAGAATAATGGAAATCTATAGCCCAGAATGGAACTGATCACTGAGCCCATCATGTGGAGTCCTGTAGCTCAGTGGTTAGAGCACTCGCTTTGCAAGCGAGAGACCTGAGTTCAATTCCAGGCAGAGGGCGAAACCTTGGGCAAGTTTCCTTACTCCACGTAGAGCCTAATAATAATCCCTCCAAAAACCCAAAACAATAATAAAATTGGTAATTTTCAATCTACGACTGTTTGTGGCACATTGCTGTGCGCAATTGGCTGCCGCGTTCGCCCACAAATATACAGTCAATTCACTTTACAGTGTGTTCTGTGAAGCGCTTTGGGACGTCCTCCCGACGTAAAAAGTGTTATATCAAATGCAAGTATTATTATTATTATTATAGCTGTAGTGGTGACAGGAGTCACATGGATTCCTGTTTGGTTCAGAGTAAGGAGGAGGAGTCTAGTTCGACATCCTCACCTGACCAGGGAATGACTGAAGCTGACACCAGGTGCCTAACATGGGATAATTTACATCGCCCAATGCTAGCATCTCGTGTCATACAACACAGCAGTTCATAATCTAACAAGAATACTGTAATTATGAATGGGATTGAGTGGGATCGTGGGTTAAATCACTGTCCTTTCACCTCTGGGACCTGGGTTTGAATCCTAGCCGGACCCTTGGTTGGAGATTTCCTCTTTCTCTCTCATTCTCCCTCCCTCCCTGCTCCTCTCTCTATCGTTCTCTCTCTGTCTCATTCTCTCTGTATCCATCTCTCTCTCTCCCACTTTTTCCTATACATCTCTCTCTCTTTCTCACTCTGTGTTTCAATATCTCTCAGGCTCTATCATTCTCTGTCTCTATCTTTCTCTGTCTCTATCCATCTGTGAGAAAGGAGCACAGAGCTTGTTACTGGTGGAAAAGCTGGATAATAATAATTTTGCTAAAGTTGGGTATCATTCAAAATATGCAACATGTGCTAACCTTTCTCTGAAAGCTGAAATGTTAAGAAATTATATTCAGATGCCAAACAGGATTAGGATGAGCCGCAGTGTCAATGACTGGCGCAGGTTTAGACATTAAAATACATTTAGCAACTGTAATATTTGAAGGTAGGAGATTTACTGCATTGAATTTCGCTGGGTCTGTGCTTTTAAGTCCCCCACCCCCCCCACCCCCCCACCCAAACTCTTACCAGACTGTAGTAGTTCTTCCCATGGGTGGCCTTCCAAACTTCCCATTCTTCATCTGAGCCTGGGATGATTGCAGCGGTAGAGACTGTGATCAAAAGGCAGGTCGCAAACAGGGAAAGCTCCATCGTGTGATACCTGCAGGTGAACAGAAGGTGAAAGCTCAGGTCAACTCCATCTCCAGATCACAGAGCCATCAGGTGGAAGACATTCTTTGATGGTCCAACAATAAATCGAACCGGTTATCACAGAGTTCAACGGTTTTGATCAAATAATATCTGACAGAACATCGATAAAGCTCAGAAGAAACCAGTCAACTCACCTTCCAAAGACGATGTATTCTAAGGTTAAGCGAGCCTGAGTGTGAGTAGTGCTTTGGTTAGTGTTAGCGACTTTTATACTCTTCCAAGGTAGGATAAAGACTACCCATGAAAATGTCCTAAACCCGTTAATTATCCAATAACAACTTTAATTTTCACCTCGTAACTTTCGCTGGGTTCCACCCAACAATCTAACATGTCCTTGGGGTACGTTTCCCAACACTCCGATCCATTAATTGACCCAAATGATGAGTTTTGAAACAAGTACTTCAGATTGCGCCCTTCCTAAAATCATCAATTGTAACTTGGTGGCACGGCCTGTCGATGTAACGCTTAAGAAAATACACTCCGTGAAACGTCCGGTTTGCTGGTGTTTGGAATAACTGCACAATCTTTTATCTCTCACACTGTGCCTGAAATGGCAGATTATTTTGAGTGTTAGAAGGTACAAAATGCAGAGTTGCTCCACTTTAATGTGAACCCTGTGAGGCGTTCTGAGATGTGTTCCTGACAACAATTGCAAGGATTATCATTATTAATACCCAGGGAGTATGGCCATCACTTGCATTGATACTCCATCTTCCACGCAAACAGAAAGGTCTCAAAATGTTCTTTGCAAATAGAAGTGAAGGTTTTGACTGGAATTTTCCACCAGATTTATTTAAAACGTTACTTTTTGATATAAAAAAATGGTTTTGCTGTTTTAATGACTGCTGATTTTTACCCCATACCTCCTATGCTTAATTGTCTTTGAGTGATTACAAGCGAGGAAGACTGCAGCAAATTGCAAATTAGGGAGAACATGAGCTGGAAATGTGAAGGTTAAAGGGCTTGTTCTAAGGAACTACTAACTGGAAGTGATTAAGAGTCACCCAATTACCAATTACTGCTGTGAACCGGGACCTTCCTTTCACTTGCTGCTGTTGACATTGCAGATGTGCCCCATGTCTATTGTTTCTGAGCTTTATTACTTGGTTATCTTCTTGAGAGTGAATTGTTTTCTCTGAGGAGTGAGCTGCCTGCTTTATTTTATGCCTTTAGGTCAAGATTTATCGATAATTTCTCTCCACCTGTCATCCATCTTTCTCCCTTTCTCTCTCTCGCTCTGTGCTTTTCTTTCTCTCTTTCATTTTCTCTTTCATTCTCTCTTTCATCTCACATCGCACGACTCTTCAGGGACCTTTTAATGAAATCATCATCTTCAGTCTTCAATTTTCCATCTTCCACTTTTCACCTTCACCCTTGCACCACCTTGATCCCTGGCATCTTCAATCCTACACTGAGATCTACCAACGGAGAACAATAATAATAATCCTTGCATTTGATGCAGCGCCTTATCACATTGTTGAGACGTCTCAAAGCACTTCACAGAATATATTGCAAAGTGGATTGACTGTGCATTTTGTGGGCGAAAGGTGGCAGCAAATTACGCACAGCAGTGTCCCACATACAGTCGTGGATTGAGTGACCAATTTTTTTTATTGGCAGGATTATTCCCCCCGGAAAGCAATCCGACAAATGATTAACAATCAGGTTCCTTCTTACTGTAGGTAAACAGAGGCGTGTGGAATAAGGAAAGGTGTTGCCTTGCCTGGGAATTGTATCCGTGTCCTCTAGCTTGCGAGGCGAGCGAGCTAACTATGAGACTCCACAATACAGTATTGTGGCTTTCACGTGACCATACAGTGAAGAAAGACTGCATATTCATAATCACTGCAATGCCCTTCCATGTCGGTTCTGCCGTTGTTTGGACGGGACAATAAACCAACGTTCCTTCTGTCTGTTGAGGTGGACGTCAAAGATCCAGTGGCACAATTTAAAAACAGAAAGGAGTTTCTCCCCAAATAAAATTGCTCATTCACTTTGTGGCTGTTTTGGGACATTGCTGTACTCAATATCTCTTGGTTTGCATTTGCCTACAAAATACGTAGTACAGTGAATCATTTGAAGGACTCTGAGACATTTGGATGACATGATAAGGTACAATATCAAATGCGAGGATGATTATTATTATAACATTGAACAAAGGTGGAGCCAGAGGGCAGCTCTGAGGAGGTCACATTGGACTAATTCTAACCTTGGTATCTGAGAACAATATATAGTCGCTGCTAGAAAATATCCCAAGGGATGTATCAGAACATTCAGAGAATAAACTCCCAATGACTTTGCCTTTCCCACACTAAGCCGGGACTCACTGTCCCCCTCATTAATCTGGGTTCTGAGTTAATCCTTTAATTCCCTTCCACTTCAATGTTAGTCTTTATCCTGTTCTCTTTGCAAAGTATCCTCAGTTGAAGTGACGCTAATATAATCCTTCCTTTCATATGCCGCCTGAACAGGCAGGACGTGCCAAAGTGCAGGATTTACTTTGAAGTGGAGTGACTGTGTATTTATTGGCGAAACTTTATGTTTGCAACATTATTCATAAATTGGGGAGGGGGGAAGGGAATATTTCAATGCCGCTCCTTAAATAAGTGGAATGTGTTTAGGAATATTACCATTTTGACCTGATATTTGCTATGTTTGATATGGAATGGTGTTGGCAACAGAATGCTTCTCACAGAGCGTTACTTTGAAGTGCAGCGACTGTTATTCCTGGCAAGCACCTTCATCTTGCTAAGGATAAATTAGGGCATTTATGAAATGCTTTGCTTTGCAACGTCGCTTCCAATTTTCGCCCAGATAGATTGTGTGTGGGCTCAGAGAGAAGATAAATGTCAAATGTTGGCTCTGCCTACACTGCTCTGCATTCTGGTAACATCTGGGGTATTTACTGTCAGTGGCTAATCGAACTCTTGCAACTCTAGCAAAATGATAAGTCCAATTTTTAGCCATCGTTACTAAATCCATTTAAGTCCAGAACAGTTTTGAGTGCCTTATGTCAACATAAAATGGACTGTATTTCCGTCTTTTTTTCTAGCAGTTTGGTGCTATATTTTGTCCACTCGGTGTCGCCAAAGTGCTGTCTTTCACCTATTGCTGCAGAGTTACAATACCAATCCTTGCATTTGATACAGCGCCTTTCACCTCCATCTCAAAGCACTTTTGCAGGATATGCTGCAAAATGTAGTGACTGTATGTTTTTCTTGCCGACTTATGTGTTCCACATATGTATGGAAATTTCCATAAATTGGGATTGGAGTGCGCACTCTCTACCCACTGGCACGCACACCCTGATCACCCAATTCCGGAGGGTATTAGGCGCAGGTTGGCAATAGCCAAGGCTTGGTGGCATCAGAGTGTGCGTTGGGGGTAACTGCTGGAGCCTAACCAGCTAAAACTGTATAGCTTTGCCATTGAGAGCACTGTCTGGCAATCTTATCATGAATTACCATGGCAGAAAACTGGCAAGATTCCCGCTGCTTGTCCAGCTAGGACCACACCACCTGTTCGGGCTATGTAATTGTATATTTTATGAGTGGATATTTTGTCACCCAAACCTCAAACCTTCACCTGAGGTTGGAGAACGTAGAAGAAATAAATAAGCGCCTAATTTCTGGCAATGAAATAGTTACATTAAGAGGTATCTTAAGCGGAAGAAGGACAGGGACTCCTTCTGTTTCTGAGAGGTAAAAGGATTTGAAAGTCATGCAAGTGATTGAAACGCAATCTGACGTCTGTTACATTGATGCAAAGGAATTTTGCTGGCTCAGGCCTGGAGAAGATAAATTTAGTGGAGTCAGTCCAACAATTAATCGGAAACTACCTGTAATATCCGAACCCATAAATTCCATCTAAATTCAAATGGCCCGAGATGATCTGCACTTAACTGGCAGGTGTTAATGAGATGAAGAGGATAACGCTGTATCTCCGAGCTGAGGCAGAGATAGCCGCTGGCTTTATTGGAGATGAAAAGCACGTCTCTCTCTAGGGATTTCTCCAGTGTAATGAGCTGACAGGATAGTCCTAGGGTTATGTCGTTTGTCATTCGTTCGATGAAAGCGGCCTTTAGTCGCGCAGAGAAACAGCTGACACAGTCAATCTGTGCCTCTGTGGTGCAATTATGTGGTGACAGTCAGAACCGAATCTAACATGTCAGATGCATTGGTGTGAGTGTGGGTATTAATGTCGGTATGTGTGGGTGTGTGTGTAAAAGCAGGGGTGAAAGTGTGTAAGTGATGTGTTGGAGAGTATGTTTGTGTGTTAGAGTGTGTGAGCGTGTGGATGTGTGAGTATGCGTGTTAGTTGGTATTTGGGTGTGAATGTGTTTGGGTGTCAGCGTGTGTGTTTATATGTGTGCAAGTATTTTGTTTCCGTGTGTATGATGGTATGCGTGTCAGTGTGTGTGAGTGTTAGTATGTGTGTGAGGGCTATGTGTGTGCATTACTGTGTGTGTAGCTGTGTATATTAGTATGTGTATGTAGGGTGTGTGTGTGCGCGTGTTAGTGTTAATATGTTAGTGTGTGTGAGTGTGTGGTAGTGTGTGTGTGCGCGTTAGTGTGTGTATGTGTATGTGTGTGAGTCGATCTGACCCAGTAATTCCCTGAACGCTACAGTTGCTTAAAATCATCTCTAATTCAGTGAGAAAAGACCAGAGATGCCAGAATCAGGTCCTGCACCTCTCAGACATACACAGCGCTCTTTCCAATGACCTTTGACTCTAATTCTTAGCGAGGCGAGTCTAATCACCTCATTTTCTCCTGACGGATTGATAGATTCTATATAATCTTTGCCATCCCATTGGGCTTGGGGCAGCAATATTTCACCTCCCCTCTCGAGATTATGTGCAAGTTAATGTGGAATATTTCCTTGAGAAACAGGAGACGTTAGCTTGGCTGTTTGCAGACTTTTACACAACATGGAGAATCACGTCAGAATTTTTCAGGGGAGGGGAGAAGGTCCCACAGTTTAGACTGTGATTCCAAGTCCCGACTCGTGGGTGCTTGAAACCAAAACCTTCCGCCTCAGGGGCGAGAGCGCTGCCACTGAGCCAGGCTGACACACCAAGTGAAGAAAGGAACCTTCTCCCCTCCCCTGAAAAACTCTGACGTGATTCTCTGTGTTGCGTAAAAGTCTGCAAACAGCCAAGCTA